GAACGGCTGGTAACCAGACATTGAGAAAGCAGCCTTAAATTCGTTATTTTTTCCAATAAAATTTATTTGCATAAACATATAAAAAATTAAATCTCAAGTAACATCCATTGTATTTTTATACCGACAAAAACGTTTTCGCATTTATTTGTAAATAAAATTTTCATTGTATTGAATAATTTATTATACGAATAATGGTATAAAATGTATACCACAGCACATATATTTAACGGGGTTTCAATACGAACGCTTAAAAAGTAGACCGAAAGGGCGAGCAAACGACGCCAAATTTTGTCTCGCTTTAATGACATTTATGTTCAGTAAAGTTTATTATTTCATCTTTGATCCAACTACGAATCGAAATTACTCAAATTTACTACCGAAATTCGGAGTCAGTGGTCGCAACTTTAAGGGCGCTACGTTCAATTTATGGTCGTCAYAATCATYCTGTCAGATCAACAATTGAGCGTCTAGCAACAGYTTGAAAATAATCMGGATTTTCAYCGAAAAATCAACTTCAGCCATGAGGCTCAGTTCTGGTTGAATGATTTCGTTAATGAGGGAAATATGTGTTTCTGGCCTGGCAGCAATCCACCAGTACTCCATGAGTCACCATGACATCCTAAACAATTATGGTTTTGTGCGGTTTATGTGCCGGCGGCRTCATCGGKTCGTACTCCTTCCCTGTTATAAAACCGACACGTTASTGTGAATGMAAATCGCTACCGCTYAATGATAACCGCATATTTTTGGCCTGAATTGTCAATTGAACGCCTCGTTCGTGAGGTTTGACGTCATTAAACTATTTTCTATGGGGCTACGGCTAGTCTATGGTCTATRCCAAYAAACCAGCGACGATTGATGAACTTCGTACGAATATCGAACTGATTGTGACAGGTGCATTACTCGAATTTAACCTTAGACCCTTAGAAAATTTAAACGTAAATATTYAAAATGCAAAAATGACTTTTTGTCACGTGCCACTTTCGCCCGCTGGCACAATGTTAGCCTCCGTTGTGTCATTACCAATAAATTACTTTATCGTGCATATGCAAACCGTTCTCAAGCTTATCACATATGCAAGAATGCATATGTTTGTACAAATGATTTCCAGGAAACAGACAACTGAACTAGATAATACAAGAGATTAAGATATGTCAGTAAGTAATAAACTGTTAGGCAAGCAACAAAGTGACCGCCACACGACGAGCGGGCGCATATTGCCGTTAACTAGTTTATTTTCTAAGCAAATTGTTGCAAATATTTTCTATGGCAGTGTGTTTTATTTGCTCGAACATTGATGCTTGTAAAAATATGCAATTACCTTGTTATCCTTCTGCCATGAGCAACTGCCACGCTTATCGATTACTTTGCATGTTAGTAAGGCGTCCTGACCCGGATTCACTTCGGAATACTTTGGCTGTTCTGAGAATCTTTGAAAGCAATTTGTTCCTGGAATTAGAGAATTAGGTACAAATGAGTCAATAAATCAATAAATAAAATACATGCGCTTGTAGATGTTATATCTAAGTGCATATATGTGTGGAGGATATCAAGGTTCGTTGGCAACGAAAAGTGTGCAGTTAAAATTAAATCATGCCACATATAAATTATTTATAAGTATATATTAATAGAAATATTTCATTATTATTTCTAATATGGCAATTCATTATAGGTACTAAATAAATTAGGATAGCTGTCATTAATTTAAATGCCCTTCACACCTTTTCAGCTGGCTTGAAGTGCTTGCCTGTCAACTCAAATGCATTTCCTTTGACAGCTGACATTAAATACACCCCTATAATAAGTTTCATAATTATTATATTTAGTTCGGGGGTTATTTCTGTATGAGAATTTAAGGGAAATGTTTAAGCGACATATTTTGTTCAATTGAAAATGAAAATCATACTACAAACAAAGAGGTAATTAATACTGGTATGTTTCAAATTTAGTTAGAGATTACTGCCCAATCTTTGAACTTCAGTTTCGAGGACTTTGATGATGTGCTTCCCAACGAAAGTCATATTGAATGCAATCAAGTGCCTAGAAAATATTATCATGCCTGCCATATTAGCTGGGTGATAGCTGTTACATATAGTTTCTAAGACTTGGACTTGATCCGTCAAAAGACATGTACGCAATTTTTCTCAAAACCGAAAAAAACCATCGGTGCAAGTTTTGTGCATGCATTTATATCCTGAACACGGTTTCCCAGAAGAAAAAGTGAAAAACAATATGAAATATATAGCTAAATACATACCTAAACTTCTGTCCTACTGTTGAACGAGTTAGTCTATAATTTCCTCTCGAAGACWCTGCTCATTTGTGGGAACCGCCGTTATCGGAGCCAAGTGCCTGCTTGGAAAACTTTTTTGTTTGATTTTYTTTATGAAATTTGGTTTGGCTTATTGTTTAAGGCAACTATGGAATCTAAGAAAAAATTATTCAGATTGAATTGAACAATAACATAAAAAATGGAACGATCGTATTAATTTCATTGGAARCACAATTTTTAGGTATTCAACGCAGAGGTCTTTTGACTCAGTCGATGGAAGTATAGATAAAGTAATATATAGATTGTTTTATAGACTTCATATAGCATTTCCAGTTCTCTCTCTCTCTCTCTTTGACACTATAAATAAATCTTCAATTCCTCTACTTCTCTTTCTTTCTATGTCAATATCTTCCTCTGATACCATAAAAACATCTATAACCACATCTTTTGAATCTCTCAAACATTTGATCTTGACAGAAAGGGTGAAGCCCGCCAAACAAAAAATTCTGTCGAATAATCGAATTTAATTAACGTTCATAAGTATTTGAGTCAGAGTTGAATGAGCCCTCTGATGAACACCCAACATGAAAATATGACAAAGGTTCGAGAGTAGCCTGCTTCAATAACAATATTCTTTTAAAATTTAATTTACTTTTTTAAACCTTGCTTTTTTTAGTTTTGGAAGGCGGAACTTCAAGAAAGTAATGAAGCTGGCAACATCCACTAAATGTAAAATAACGTAACATCACTAATCATAATTTACAGGCGAAAAAAAAAAAAAAAAAAAAAAAAAAAAAAAAAAAAAAAAAAAAAAAAAAAAAAAAAAAAAAAAAAACCCACAAACCAAATGTGAGTTAGTTATAGCATATAGCTGCCATACAAACTGAACCGTCGAAATCAAGTGCTTGTATGGAAAACTTTCGTATTTTATAAGATATTTTCATGAAATTTAAAACAGATAATTCCCCAAGCCAACGTTACWATCTCCACACAAATTGTTCACATCAGTGTACTATAACATATAGCTGCCATACAAATTGACCGCTTCATATCATGATAAATGCTCCTGTGAAGGGAGCGTTTTTTCTTATTGACATATTCGTTGGTGTTCCAAGGTCAAACTTTCTTGTCAAAACTGTTCTCTCTAATGTGACAGCTAACAATGACCGAGTTTTCGTGTGTGTCACAGTGGATCGGCTTACAAAGCATTTCTATTACGTTTCCCTTTGATAAATGGCCACAAAAAGTGTTGTCCTTTAACTACAGAAGAACGCCACTGACGTGCTTACTCAACATTTCGTCACAATCATCGCAGCTTCAGAGTGGCTACATTTCCAATGAAAATATTATTTAACAAAATTTTTTTGTTTTTCTTTTCATCTTATCAGCATATAATTGTCAAAATGTAATACTCATCTTTTGATCGCACTCGCATCGATGACAAACGATATGCACACAATACAATAGCTGTCAAGTGAACCTGAAGCAGCATCAGCACCTTTTGTTTTGCATACTTCACGGCGTTTTGCATTGTCGGGCATTTATTATTCATTCGCACTCATTCAAGCACAATCACTGAGTAGTGTGTATGTATGTGCATTTATTGCCATATTTATTTGYATTCACACTTCATGCATTCGATTACCAACACACATACATCTATACGGTTAGATACATAAATTTATGTGTGTTGGCGCGCGTTGCCACGGTAATTTATTATGAAATAATGATGATTGCTATCGTTTATAAAATAAATTTGCAGCTTCACTGAGCACAAAAGCACAGTATGAACACAATGGCAGCGAAAACACTATGCGAAATGYTTCATTTTTGTATGAATAATGGATAACGCTAAAAGGAAAATTGTTTATGCAAATACATATGCATATGTATATGTTACGTGTGTTATGCATATTAAGTGTGGGAGATTTTTAACGAAGAACTAAATAATCGAATGCCAATAAAAATGCAGCAGTATCAATAACTCTATTTGCAAGCGTTTGTGTGTGTGTGTGTGTGTGTGTGGTTCGTGTGTGTATATTAAAGAATTGCTGTACAGCTACATACCTAACGTCCATTATACCTATGAGCATAGAGATAATGTGTGTGCTAATTGAAGTAAGTAAAGGTTTTTAACTACTTTCATTGTGTAGAGAGTGGCTGAATGAAATGCTTGAAGTTCAAAGAAATCAATGTTTTTGAAAAATTATTATTTTTCAATAATTATCGAAGCGCAGCAAAAAATTTCAAAAATTATGTGCAAAGAAAATAGCAAAAAACTTATAATCTTTTAGGAAAAAAATTATTTTTAAGAGTTACCACTTTTTACAAAATTTTTATTTTTCAGATATATGTAACAAATTGGAAATTTTCTATACACAATGGATACAAAAATTTAGTAGTTTTAAMATTTTTGTAGCTTAATACTTGTGAGTTGAACAAKGTTGCCAGCTTTATAAAAATTTTAAATWAAAATTATTTTACAGTGTGGACGRTTGTGTCTGAAATGAATGCTTTCTAGGAGGAAGATCATTTTTATTTCACTTTTCATTCTTTGCCAACTTACGCGCTGTATAGTATAGAATACATTGTGACAAAAAGGTGCTCGGAAGTTTTAAATAAAGCGCGAAAAATTTACTTATTCATCAACCATTATTTCGTCGCCTTCTTCAACAGATGGATAAGCACTTTTGCAGTTGGCCTTCAAAGTAATATTCAACAGTCCTTAAAGTACTTTTTGGGATGGCTTTCAGCTCCCTCAGCGAATTTTGTTTTATCTYTTCGATCGACTGATCGATCGGGTTCCATGGAGCGGCAATTTCAGTTTGCGGAAYAAGCAAAAATCACACGGGGTCAAATCTGGTGAATACGTTGATTGATTGATTGTATTCATTGCGTTTTTGGCTTTAAATTCGGTCACAATCGTGGCTCGATGCGATGTTGCATTATCATCGTGTTAAATTCATGAATTTTCCGGTCGTTTTTGATGATTGTTCTCACGCAAACACCTCAGTATGACCAAATTGAAATCCATATTGACCGACTTCTTTTTTAAAACGAATTCATGATGCATCAAACCTCGAATATCGTGACAAACAATAAGCGTGAACTTGATTTTTAAACGACTTTGGCGTGGTTTTTTTTGGTTCCGGCTCGTTTTTTTTCCTTCTCTTCGATGATTGTTGACTTCTTTGCATGTCAAACTCATAAACCCATGTCCCAAATGGCAGTTTAATTACATGAATGTGAGATTTGAATTCGAGCGATGATGCATTTTCAAAGGTACCTACATAAGTACSGTGCTCTTTTTGAAAAAAATTAACTTTATCGGAATGAGTTGAGCAAAAACGCGTTTCATGCCCAAAAAAAAAAAAAAAAAACACACAAAAATCATTTGAGCGGTCGCTTGAGAGATGTAGAACTCTCTTGTTATCTCGTATGATTTTTAAGCACCTTATCATTGATTTTTTTTTAATCAGTCATAATAAAAGTCTTCCAGAACGAGTTATGTCTTCAACGATCTCTCGACCGTTTTTGAAGGTTTTGTTCCACTCGTAGGCTTGTATATTTGACTCACCGTAACATTYTTCTTTCGAGCATTCCCAATATTGAAGAGTATAAAATGTTCGTTTGCATCCGAACTTAGCGCTTTCTTATTCGTTTTTTTTTCTTTTTTTCTAAAATTCAACATTAAAAAAAAAAATGTATACTCCTTTAAGATGCATATAGCAGCCTGCAATTTTAGAACGCCTTCAAAATTAGTCTGAATTCAAAGGTACTAAAAGATGTATTAAATTTTGTGCAGTTAAAGCACAAATAATACTGAATGTGCTACTCTGTGACGTCACTTGCACTACACTTACATGACTGGTTAACTATAGCTGCTTCGCATTCGTCAGCCACAATGGACGCCACAGCAATCAAATAAATGGCGAATGTCAATCACGCGCCATAAATCATTTGTCAATACTTTGTTGCATGCAACACATACGAGTATGAGTGACGCACACGATTATATATGCGAATTTGTGTATGCAAACATCCATCTATGCATACGTGAACTAGTTTCCGTATGCAAATGTATGTACTGGTATGTTCGGGTGGTAGAAGAAGTACGTTTATACATTAAGGTGGTTACAAAAAAACAACGGTTTACTTTATGGAGGACCTTTCCGTTATAATT